TCTGTTAAAGACCGGAAAACGAGGAAGACCCCGGAAAATTTATCAATTAAAGAAGTCGGAAACCGTGAGAGATGGTGAGTTCGGAATGACGTGCGAAATACCTATGAATAAAGCTTTATCTGGATCAGATGCAAGCAGTTGGTATGACGCTATGACGGACGAGATGAGATCGATTATAAAAAACGACACTTGGACACTCGTTGACCGTCCTAAAGACGCTCAAGTCATAGGAAGTCGAATAGTCCTTAGAAATAAGTTCAAGGCAGACGGCAGCTTTGAGAGAAGAAAGGCCAGACTAGTAGCTCAAGGTTTCTCTCAAAAGCCAGGCATTCATTTTAACGAAACATTTGCACCAGTAGCACGCCTGAGCACCTTACGTCTTGCGGTAGCGCTAGCTGCACGGAACAACATGTTCTTGGAACAATTGGACGTTGCATCGGCTTACCTCCAAGGAAATTTAGAGGAGACAATCTTCATGGAAGCACCCAAACTACTGCAAAGAATGTTGGAAACATTGGCCGAAGATGAAGATCTTACTACAAGAGAGAAATCGAAGAAGATGTTGCACGATTTGAAAGAAGGAAACAAGGTTTGCCTATTGAAAAAGTCGCTATACGGTCTCAAGCAAGCCGGAAGATCTTGGTACAATAGGTTGAACAAGGAATTAACCAGAATCGGAGCTACCCCGTCCATTTCGGATCCTTGTCTCTATCGAATGGGCGACCCAGAAGACTTAACACTAATCATAGTCTACGTCGACGATATCTTAATCGCATCCAAAAGTCGGGACCAAATAAACACAATCAAGAAATTACTTTCCAAAGAATTTCAAGTAAAAGACTTAGGAGAAGTGAAACACTGTCTAGGAGTCGAGTTCATTAGAGATGGAAACAAAATCACCTTGCGGCAAAAGGGTTACATCTCTGAAATCCTCAAGAAATTCGGAATGAGCGACTGTAACCCAGTGAAGACCCCCATCGATCCAAACGTGAAGCTGAACAAGCCAGAGGACAATCAGGGACTAAAGGAACAAGAATCACTTCCATATCGCGAATTGGTAGGAGCCTTGACTTATCTGTCTGTCACCACAAGGCCCGACATAAGCTTCGCTGTTAGCTATCTCGGTCAGTTCAATAATTGTTTTACCAACATGCATTGGACAGCCGCGAAGCGTGTGCTCCGCTATCTGAAGGGGACTATAAGCTATGGGGTCACCTATGGAAATTCTCGGGAAGCCCTCACAGGATACGTGGATGCGGACTGGGGAAATAATGGGACTGACCGGCGATCCTTCACCGGATTCGCCTTCATCCTTGGGAAAAGTTTGATCTCTTGGGACAGTCGAAAACAGAAAACCGTCGCCTTGTCCACGACAGAAGCCGAGTATATGGCAATGACAGAAGCCATAAAGGAAGGAATTTACCTTCAGCGCTTCCTGCTGGAACTTGGACAGGAGAAGTTGGGAAACATCAAAATGTGCTGTGACAACGCTAGTGCGCTGAAACTGGCCAAGAACCCGACTTTCCACAACCGCAGCAAACACATCGATGTGAGACATCACTTTATAAGAGAAGCCATAAAAAACCCCACGTTAACGCTTCAACACGTAGCGTCAGAGCATATGCTCGCTGACATCTTCACGAAAGGGCTACCTCATCCTAAGCACGACATTTGCATCCGAGGGCTGAAGATGGTGCCCGACGGCTCGCCTTGAGGGGGTGTATTGAGGAAATGCAAGCCTCGGCCGGTCACCGCTGGAAGTGCTACTGTGTAGTGTGTAACAGTGCAAAGAACCTTTTTGTTTTTCTTCTTCTCGTGTGTCGGTTGTGCCTTTATATTTTGTATTGTATTTCTCGTTTACTGATTTCAAACATATATCAATAAGAGTCATTGTCACTTTAGTGTTTCTTTTATTGAATATTACCAACAGTTACTGCGCACATTGAATAAACCCCGAATCACAAATCCAATCCAGAAAATCCCCATTCTCGTCTTCCTTTGAGTCAAATAAAACCGCCTACGATCAAAGAAAATTTCTCAGATTTACCCCAGTCTCCACCCTGTCACAATCATATAAAAACAGCAGAATACAAATTCACGTTTCACAACAAATTCATACGAAACAAACATGACACCACAAGAACAGCACCACACTTTATATAAGTATGAAATATGTGGTTCAAAATTTTCATTATTTACATCTGTATTTTATAATTATTTTTCTACTCAACAACTGTTTTATAATTTACTCAGGCCCGGATGATGAGCCGGATAAAGGTCGAAACGTTGGGGAAAAAATGAAAAATGTATTTTTCTAAAATTTTCATTCCTGAACTCCTTACTGCTTGAACAAATTATTATTATCCTTGGGTTTTACAATAATGTTCACTATTTTCTAATTTCCTACATTTGGTGCTGTTAACCAGTATATATTAATAATAAAATCTTGTATAAATTGAAAACTCCATCTTACCAGATTGAATAATTATAGAATGAAACGTTATCCAGTAATATATCCACGCTATCAAAATATTGCCTTGTTTTTTATACCTTTCTGGTGATGAAGGAATCCAGTGCAAGAAGCAGCCCTGCGCACCTTTTTGCAGCCGAGTTGTTGTCGAGGCAGGAAACAATTAATTTAACTGGTCCATGCCAGGAGCCGTACAGTTGGGCTCTGTTATTACGGACGCATGGGCACTAAACGCGCATGCTCTATCCCAATAATGACTTTTTTTTTACATGGATATATGGTCTGGATACAGTCATGACCGTAAAATATGTAACCAATGTGGAGTAATCGCCAATATGGCGCTTCGCTATGCTAAACCTGCACGACCGATCTGTCATGCTGTATTTTACTTCAAGCGCCTTGCTACGAAGCAACTGTACTTTAGAATTAATTTTCTTTAATTTTAGGTCAACGAAACTCGTGCTTCAAGAGCAAAACATTGAAACATGGATGTATTTTTCACCGACATACCCACACCATGAAAGGGTTTTGATTTTCTTCTAATTCAATTCTATGCCTACGCAAAAATTTGGCACGATTCCTACCCACCCCAAAAACATGTTAACAAAAATGGGTCCGTGAAAGGTTAGCGCATGATCAGTGCACATGCGTCCACCCGAGTAGGTTTTTGAGGTTCATTCCATTAACGTAAATGTGAATTCAAACATGTGTAGATATTTTTTTCGTTCGAAAAAAAATCGCATACAATCAAATTTCTTCAGTTCCCATCACAATTTTCTTTTCGCTCCAAGATCTTTCGTGGATGTGTTCGCAGTCTAACAATATATCCAACATTACAATTTCCTCTTGTTTGTGGTATCCTTTCACCAGGTTTTGGACCCATTAAGCATCCATTTTGAGATGTACAATTTTTTGTAGCAAGATGTAGGGGGAAAACTGTAGGGTTTTCAGGATCTAGAGAGTCCATGTTGGTTCCCTCTTTGGCCAACATGTCAACCTTTTTAATGCTACTATGCCCCAAATGCCCAGGGACCCAGGGGGAGATTAAAAAAAGTCAGCGCCACGAGCGGGATTCGAACTCACGACCTTCGGCTAAATACGCCGCTGCTCTACCATTTGAGTTTTTCCACTTGAAGAAGTCACGATAGCTCAAGTCGTAGAGCAGCGGCATATTTAGCCGAGGTCCGTGAGTTAGAATCCCGCTGTGGCGCTGACTTTTTATCTCAACCAATGCCTTATACAAAGATTAATTAATTATAAAATAATAATCAATTCAAGATATAAAAAGTAGCGTGTTTTTCTAATAGCAAAGGAGCCTGCAGTCATTCCTCCTTTAAAACATGGATTTACTTGACGCTACTTCATCAGAAAAGTAGCGTTTCCTTACTCTGGAAGCAATTTTTACCAAATGAAGTCAGCTATACTGATTGTTCTCAAATGCTTTCTGCACCATCTCCCACTGCAAACTGAATTTCTTGCTCCTTGTCAAATCATCAACGCTATTAAAGTACAAATTAGGCTTCAAATCATGATTGGACACCTACAGTACTATTAAATGTGCACTTTTTGTGACTTATATTAGAATACTTCCATTACTTCATTTTTTCACTTCTGAACCCGGTGCCATATTGTAAATAGGGTTAAGTATTTTTATAGTTAGAATATTTTTCAAGGATATTCCATATTTTACTGATAACTGACTGCTGTTAGAACTAATGCCATGTAGTCCCGCCTCATTGGGCTTTCCAGTCCGCGGGTGTGTACGAGGGCAGGCAAACGAAATTAAAAGTTTAAAATGCAAAATTGTGAGAATATTCTAATGGCAATCCCAATTAATTATTAATGATCGTAAAATATGTTTTCCACTGATAAAAATTTAAATTGGTTTCATAAAGGATTTTTTGTCGTTAACCCTCTAACAACGTTTAAGTGTTTCCTCTCTATCGGCGAGTTTGGTGTTGGCGGTAATGGTTTTTCTTGCAGGGCTAACCAAACCGCTCGTAGGACTTAAACTTGACATGAGGCCTGCGGTTTCTAACCCATTTTCCTCGAATCTACCCCCTTTAAAGCCCAGTCAAGGACAGAGGTGTACTTTATAACAGGAACTCCGGTTCCAATCCCTCTAGAATATATCTCATCGCGAACAAAACATTCTCCAAAGAGATGTTTCTTGTTAAAAGTCTTTTAATATGGGAGTGGAAGCAACTTTAATTACAAGGCCGGTTAAAGTTGAAACCGGATTAGCCTTCCTCGACGTCAGGACTTACCTACCTTGACACGAAAGGATTTCCGCGAGATTTCCTTCAACTCGTGTACACAAGTTCGAATAAAATTTCTCTCCACCCTACCAATTCAACTAATTTACAATTGTTGATAACAAACGTCATGCCTTGAACAATTATTGAAAATATCGTGATTAACAAAATAAAGCATATTTATAATAAAAAAACGTAGCCTGTGTTGTAATTTTATATGAAACGACGTTAATTTTTTAGAAAATACAGCTATTTTGTAGAACGAGGATAATTACCTGTCGGGTAGACGACGACAATGGGCCGTTTTTGTTGGTTGGATGACACACCTCCTTGACTTGACATAACCTGAAAGCAGAATAAAAGAAAATCAATGAATTAATATATTCTAGTGAAAAAAAATTTTCTTTATATTCCAGTCTGCGTAATAAATAATCCGTAAAGGAATTACAGGATGGTTTTATTACATAGGGAAATATTGAACATTCTTATTCAAGACGAAACTGGAAAAAATGTATGATATATTATAATTTATTCAACCCTAATCTCGCCACCTACAGCGAATAATTTAAAGAAAAAAGTAAATATTTTAAAGATCTGGCAAAATAATAATTATATTAAAATATTCCAAAAGAATTCCTAGGGTTGTAGTAATCCAATACGCTTCTACACACTTTTAAATACAATGATCCAATGTAAGTTATTATTTTAGAAAACTCTTCTTCTTCGAAATTCTTATAAATAAATGCGCTGACGTGTTTCTTTTATTCCGGTGAAAGTGACAATAAAATTACCTTAACTTCTATACCAACCGAATACAATAGTTGAGAAGGCCTATCACTACTTTTACAAAGAGAAAAAAATATAATTTCCCGACTGAGGATTGGCCCTACGCGGTTGACACACGGGCACCTGCTCTAGGGCCAAAACCCGCCGTAGGTGCCCCTTATACAGAGAAAGGTAGCTCGATGTGTCCTACACAATAGAAGCGTGTCAGCCTTGGCTCCATACAAAGAGCGTGTAGGCATGCCGCCGGATTTAAGAATCGTTCTCTTCAGCTTTCAGCTATTTCCTCCACTATCGTGTCAATTTTGTTTGACAAGGGACGACCAGGTTATTGTGTCAGGGATTTAGACCAAACTTTTTATGGTGATTCTACACTAAAAAATATTGAACACGTATCGGCCAATCCTTTTGAATTGGCTCTGGTTTCGCCCAAAAATTGGAATGTTGAAATTTTCCATTTTTTAATATTTTTATTTCGCCGTTTTCATTGCTCAAATACATCATTTTACAAAATTTTTTATGTACATTGCACTAAAAATACAGTAAAAACTATTAAAGTTTACCAATAACTAAAACATATCAAAAAACCAGTTTTTTTGTAAACTAGGTCATAAACAATTTTTTTAAACTGCTTCTTAAAGCCTAAATCCTAATTCACAGAAAACAAAAATTTTTGTGCTCATTTAATTAAATTTACTTTATAATTATAATTTTTATTAATATTTTAATTGTACAATATAAATAAATAACTAAATTCCTTCAACCAAAATTATATTTGGTCCCTCCTGTTTCAAAATAAATGAATTTGAATTTTGTTGAGAATGTGTAGGAGAGGTCTAATATTCTTAATTTAAAATAACAAATTAACATAATAATATATTATGTAATTTTATTGTATAAATCAAAATGTTAATAAAAATTATGAGTATAAAGTAAATTTGATTAAATGAGCATAAATCGTTATATATAGATTAAAAAATATTATTTCTTGTATTGTTGTTAACATAAAAAGAACATTGTTAACATAAAAACTACATTCCACGACGCAGAATATTCTAATTTGGTACGATTTAAAAAAGTTAAATAAAAAAGTATTGCTTTTTTGAATATTTTTAGCACAGTAGGCCGGAAAATGGTTAAAACTTTGATTTAACCTATCTTGATATTAAAGTAATAAACCCTTAGATACCGGAAATATAGAGGAAATTAGTGTCAATTCATTTTTTGACTGATAATTTCGACGACCCTTCTGTGTGACTGACATTTCTAGTGACATTTTCTAACATCGTTTTTCTCAAAACCTAAGAGACCGATTTTTACGGTTGATAATTATTTTTAAAGGAATTGTCAAGTTCCTTTTTATAACTCTATTCGACATTAAAATCGGACTATTATTTCTATTTCAAAAAATTAAAAATTCTATTTAAATAATTTTAAAAAAAATTTCTTCAGTTAAAAAGGTTAATTTTTGACAAATAATTTTCCTATTTTGAGTATTTTCTTGTAGAAATGTTTTATATATTTTTATGGTACATACATCGTTAAAAAGCTACCATCTTCTTTTTTCAAATAGTCTGTTTGAAGTTAATATGCTTATAGCTATTCAATAAGATATAGCGATAACAACAACAAAAACTGTAGAAGTCAAAAAATCAATAATTTTAAATTCAAAGAAAAATTTAAATATACGGGTCACTAGAGGTGCTAAAACGCAATTTCATATTATTGGTTTTAAGAAAAAACGTTTTATGACCTAGTTTACCAAAAAAAATAGGGTTTTTCACGTTTTTTGGTTATTTATAAACTTTAATAGATTTTGCTATATTTTTATTGCAATCTACATGAAAAAGGCTGTAAAATAATATATTCCCAAACACTGGAACTCTCAACACGACACACAATAATGACACATCTACACAGGAAACAAACACTTTCATCCCTGAAGATGATCTCAATAAAGATCGAAACGTAGCACGATAAAGAAAAAGTATTTTTAAAACCTACGCCACTCCAGACTGTATCTAACGATTCCAAATAATTATATTCACAAAGTTCATTTGAGCAAATAAGACGGCGAATTAATTATAATTCGTAAAGTCGTGAGGATGGTGAAATAATCACCAATTGCATTTGATATCTATATTACAAATAAATTCACTAATTTTGTGGTCCGCTTGACCAATTAATATATTGTAATTAATTAAGGTTTTTAGTTAAGATAAAAAAGTCAATGGCACGAGCGGGATTCGAAAAATTGCATTGAAAAATGGCAAAAAGGAGGGAAAACTCAAAAAGGTGGGGTTGAGATGGGAAGTAGTGTCCGAGTGGATCGAGGTCACGATAGCTCAAGTGGTAGAGCAGCGGCGTATCTAGCCGAAGATCGTGGGTTCGAATCCCGCTCGTGCCATTGACTTTTTATCTCAACTAAAAACCTTAATTAATTGCAATTACAAATAAACTTTTATTATTATTCGATAAAAAGCCTACATCCCTTAATTCTTAATTTCGTTGATTCAACGTTAACCTCAATTTCGGATGTTAGAATTAATTATTCAGAAATCATTAGATGCGACACAAGACAGCAACTCAGATTTCTGAATAATTATCGGTTAACAGTCACTAACCACCACACATTTCTACGTTAGAATTAATTTTAATTAAATTAAAATGTGATCATCAGTAAATGATTATATTTATTAAGTCGTTAGTGAGTTGACCTAGGGCAGGCAATGAGCACAGTCACGTTTATACTGATCTTTGGACTAGCCCGTTTTTAATTGAAGGAGTGAGTATTTTCGGAACGTTATTTTGTTGTTGTTATAGTTATATTTGATGATTACAGTTTAGATTTACGAAGATCGTCTCTCACGAAAATATGATTTAAAGACCAATATTTTAAAGAAAATGTCCTTTCATTTTCTCTTTTTATCTATTACAATAATCCTTTTTAATGTGAAAAAAGTGTGTTTATCATTTTACTTTTCTTAATTCTATTAGGTTTGTAGAACATTAGTATGAATAAAATACCTCCAAAAGACGGAGAAGATATAAAAAACATAAATAGCCAACTAAAACGTTCCGAACCAAAATCTTCCAAAAACCACATAATTTTATGTTGACATAATAAGAGATAACAGCTTATAACAGTAATAAATTTCTGGATGCGGCCATTCTCAGCAATCAACCGTTAACTAAATAGCATCGTTAAAAGTTTTATTGCTCCATTTTACATCTAAGCCGTCTAAAACGATGATAATTATTATCATCAAGCCCGAGACAATATCCTGTCAAAACGATTCCAAAACTTCACATTAACAAAATTACATAAACGGCAAAAAGTTTTAATTAACGTAGTAATAATAAAAACTGGCCGGATTTACAATTTATTGTCTTCCGTCCCTAAGAGGAGTTTTATTCAATAAAAACACCGTGGGAAGGTCTTTGTTAGTTTTATTTATTACAAATAATGTATAACTGCTGAGTGTCGTCTTATATTGCGAGAAAGTTTTTCTAATATTTTTCAATAGATCCCAATACACTTCGGACGTTTCTTTTATCGATGCCACGAATGTTTTGAAAATATGTTTTTTGCGATAATTTGTAGTTTGTTGTTTGTTCAACGCTTCAGGTTATTTATTCTTTGCTATTTTTGTGCCATTTTTTTATATTTAATTTTATCGAAAGTAAGCAATTAGAAGGTTTCGTGCATTTAAATTTAATTAAATAGCATGAGGTATCTATAAAAGGTGAAATTTGTATAATTCTATGGACATTGATTTGAAAAAAGTATGAAAATTACATAACATTTGTTTTGGAAAGAAGTAAATACGATGGGAGGCTGGAATTTCGGCTGTCTCGTAAAACAATCGTATCAGTGGATGGGATTCGAGAAAATATGGGACAGGGGTTTAATGGATTTTGTAAATGTTTTTCATTGAAGTGGCCAAAATCGTTTTGGTTAAACTCGGTTTTGGTCGACCGTTATACAAATTAAAATAAAATAAAATTGAATTTACCCTGTTTTAAGGACTCCGTGCAGTCCATTTTATTTCGCCGACGGCCGGGGATATTTACTCCTACAATCCGTAATAAAATGGAACTTAGCATAGCTCGTTTCCGAAACTGGGGCGATGTTACGAATCAAGCATGCAAATGTATACAAATTTGCGATCTTGACACGCACAGGAACAATAAACGAAAAAGGGTATTCTAGTGAAATAAAAGTAAACTTAGACGGATGCAATAAAAATATATAACAACTATAAATAAACTGTTAGGCGATTGGATGAAAATATTTGCTGTTATTTTATTTAAAAAAAAAAAAACCCTAAGGCGGTTCAGATTTATACACCTGGGTCGGATCAACGTACCCAATTCATTGGATCAATTTAATACTTATGAATTAATCCATATTTGCTTAGTGGTCATAATTGACTGTATAAATTATTTCAATTAATTATTCTTTTTTTTTCACGTAAGGTTTTTAATTAATATGAAAAATTAGTGTCACGAGCGGAGATTTTCATTACAGAATCGTTACGAACGCATGAGTACATTATAAT